ATCATCAATCATCAATCATCAATCATCAATCATCAATCATCAATCATCAATCATCAATCATCAATCATCAATCATCATCATCATCATCATCATCATCATCATCATCATCATCATGGTGATCGTCAACATCATCTTCGTTACAATCCTCATCCTCATCGTTACCTTCTGTCATCTCCTGCTGTGCTGTCAGGCCACCCTGTCGTCTAGTTGTGTGGATGGTTTAAATGAAGGCTTTTGGAGGTGTTGAAGGGTTTTGAGCATTCTTTTGGATGCAGAAGACTGGAGTGTTCTTGGGCCAGAGGTGGAAACCTGGAAAATGCCCAGAAATTGCTACAAAATACGCACCAATCGCCGCATCGCATGCGCGCTAATTGAAAACGTGGCGAAACACCCCAAAATAAATGGGTTGGATATGAGAGGCGTCCATGTTTGAAGGAGCACCTTTTGACAACTAGCGATATTCTTGTTGGAGACCTGGAGATCTCACCACGAGGTTTCTTTGAGACCTGGGACAGCCTGGGGCTCGACATGGACGGGATGGGCATGTTTCTGGCCAAACGGCCGAATCGTAGGGGGGCGATGTTCTGGAATCTTCGGAGGCGTCGACTGGGTCCGACTGAGAGCACGGCGAGGTCCTGCCGAGTCCAAGGAGCAGGCATCCTGCGCTGAGCGGCGAGCAGCGGCCGATCCCGTCGTGCTCGGTTCGCTGCGGGAGCAGGGGGTGCGGACACGCGACCTTTCGCGATCGAGTGCGGTGAAGACGGTGAAGAGTGAAAGATGACCGGTTGTGTTAAAAGGAAGACCTTTAAAAGAAAGCCCTTAGTAAAACCTCTGTTTGGTAAAGATTGGCAAGGAACTTTAAAATGGTTGTTGGAAGGGTAAAGAGGTCCAAAAGTCACTCACAGACCTGACAGCAGAAACAAGAAACAAGTCTAATCTTGCTTCTGACACGTGGGACGATCCACTACATGAGAATACATATTGAAGATGTTCAATTTCCTTTGCAGGAAGAATCAGTTGACCCCACCTATTCAAAGGTCTCCTGCTTTCATTGCATCGGGTCTTCACTTTGATGATGTGATCGTAATGATTGGGTCTGCCTGTTTACTTGATATATACACACAAATATGGGTTGCCTGTTCTCCTGGACCGTCTGGTATACACAAAACGAAAGATTTCGGTCATTGGATAATCTGATCTCCTCGTGACTCCTCAAGTTCTTCAAGCTTCTTCTTTCAATTCTCAAGTACCACAAAGCTAGTCACCCAACCTCAACCCTGAGGGCCACAGCAGCTCTCAGTTTCAACAAGATGTTCACTAGTTCAAATCAGTGTGGGTCACCCATGCCTTGTGCCTAGTTGTCTTCTCCAACAATCCTCCACTATATGTCTACACCAGAACTTTGCCAATCCAATACATTTTTGTGGGTTTGGGGTCTTTCCCCCCACTGTGACCCTGGTTCACTCGCTCGAATGTACCACATGGAATATGACCATCCTTTTCCCCCTTGTTGGAGCTGATACTCCCGCCGGTACCGCCGCTCCCGCCTCTTGGATCTGCCCTTGGATCTCCACCGGCTTCCTGAAGCGAGACCGAGCGAGTCGGAGACCTCGGTCCGGTTTGTTTGGTTCCCAAAGAGGGTGTGAAGTGGTGACCAGCTCGGGAGACCGACGCCAGGGAGGTGGCTGGAAGGTTCAACACCGACGCCAGGGGCGAGCTTTTGGTCTCCCAGATGTCCAAAGACACGCCCGAATCACCAAATGGATCACCTCAGCCTCAGTCCAAAAAGCCCATGCTCCTCTGTCTGAAAGCTTCCTAAAGACGTCTGTGTGAGTTCACTTGCCACAGGAAAGGGGAGGGTGTGCGGGCCTCCAGGCTTGTAGACTGTTTCGCAGGTAACCCTAGCACCATTGGTGAGTGCAGATGCGTGTCCTCACTTTCCCAATTGACCCTACGACGAACAGATCTTTTGAGCATCCTCGACGAAGCATGGGTGGTGTAGACGGTGTTTACAGGAAGCAAGGGTGACACTGACATCCAGCTGCCACCACCCCAGTTTGGGAAAAAGATAGGAAGGAAGGCACGTAGCAGACCAAGACATGGAAGCATGATCATATCTCCTATGACACTCCCAGCGAGACACCCAAGGGCCCAACTCTCCACGGACGATGGGACGAGGGAACACCCCGGGTTTCGCGGCGTGAACGGCGAAGCACAGAAAGTCACTGTTCAGAACGCCAAAGACCTGAGTCCCTGGCAAATATTCTGTGCCTCAGAGAGAGAAAAGGGATGAAGGCAGGCACCACTGCAGCTAGAGAAAGCGATGAAAGCTCTGAGAAAACTCTCATATCAAACCCCAAAAAAGCAATTGGGACGACAATGGGAGGGTTCTGCAACAATTGCATGTCCATCCGTATACGGAGTGCTCAGTTGGATGGCAGCTTCCTCACTCACTTAGATGTTCTCCAACACTGCCATGTGGTTGAGGTGTTCTTGAGGTGCTTGGATTCGACATCCGTCTTTTGCAGGTCAAAATCTATTGATCTGACCGAGAGTCCACTCGATGGACTCGCTCGACCACGTTTGGCAGCTCGTCAGTGCATAAGTACTGCAATTCGAACACCTACAAGCACTAATGAGCTAAATGCAGTACTTATGCATAACTTCATGACTAATAAGTACGTAGTGCGATGTGTTTTCTATTGCGATGGAATAACTGAGGCCTCCATCGCGTTACGACCACCTACAATTGAGGCAATGTCACGTCTGATGTTGGAAGAAGGCCGTCCTATGTTGGATGAAGGCCTAGCAAGAATGCATGTTCATAACTAACGCTCGTCCCATTTCCGATACCGATCGGAAAACAATGGATAGTGAATGATAGTGAGACCTGGTTCCCAAAATTATGAACATGTGAACCGAAACTTAGCGTGGCTTTTGACAGACCTTCCAGTCTCTGGACCGAGCTGCCTCCAGCGCGCACGGGTGTGCAAAGGGACTTGAAGTGGCGAATGGCACAGCTCACACCACTCTGGCCAGCACACAGCTGCTTGTATCTGCGCCAGCCGAGCTTGGAACACTTGGAGCACTTGGCTTTGGTTGACATGCAAAAAAATGCACCGTTTTCGGCGAAAAGCCACCAGAATCTGTCCAAATATGGCTTGATCCTCCGAGCTGGATACAGTATATACAATGGTTTCACAAAAAGGAACGACGATCGGGAAGGAACGACGGCTGATTTACATGTGAAGCGAACGAGTCCCTCCACGATGTCCAAAAATCCCTTGATCCCGAGCATGTCCAACCTTTCCAGAAGGCTGGCCGGTTCGATCGCTGGCCACTTCAACTGACACTACCCTGGAATCATTATGCAAATGGAAAATGGGTGCTTCCATGGGAATACAAACAGGGGGCGCGCGGTTTCTTCTGACCTTGTTCGTTCACGAAGGCAAAATTGCACCTGACAAAAAGCGTGTGTAGGTCGCAGGTCGCAAGTGGGTTGGGAAGTTGACCTTCCTTTCTCCCAGGTGCCCTTCTTGATCTGGGGGGTTCCCCCGACCAATCAGCTTCATCTACCCTGCGTGTGACATATCTGCGGTCTACTGCTGTTTGGGAGGTTTCTGGTGCTTTTTTGAAGGAGTTCAGTCCTGGTGTGTCCAGGGAAGATCACCAACATCGTCTTGTGGCTTGTGCCATCGTCTAGCGCCCTTGGAGATTGGAGATCATTGAAAACGCTTCCCTTTAGTGAACTATCACCAAACCTTTGTGACTCGCGCAACGGGGTTGTACATGACACCCGTTTGCCAGTTCGCAAATATCTCCAAGATCTCGTGTGGACAACACCAAACCCACCTCACCCAACAAACTAGCTAGGAGTCACCAGGGTCTTCCTCGGTGTTTGGCAGGACTTCCCGTGACAAAAGAATAATCCAAACATATCCAAACCACAACACTTACGATACTGCTATACCTGCTTGCGGCTACACCCAAAAACCTCCCTTGTTCTCTTTTCATCTCCGCCGGGTGGGTTCCGCCGGCCCCGGTAGCGCACCTTTCATGCTCCACGAGCACCCGCACGTGAAGTTGGAAACCTCGGTCCCTCGCTTCGACCACCTGAACCTCCGTGACGTTGCCTGGCAGGTTCCCCGCCCTTCCCACGCCTTACACCGCGGGTTCGGTGGAACGGTCGGGACGAACGGTGGGGACGAACGGGGGCAACCGGTGGTGCATGTGGGGACTCCTGTGTCGTCTCCTCTCGGTGTGTCGTCTCGTCGTTCCACGAAGCGAGTGTCGCAAGCGAATCGTCGCAAGCGTCTCTTCCTGGACAGAAAAGTGCAGTAAAAATGCCTGGAAGTCCAAATGACAGATGTTCCCGCATCGGAAATTCTTGATGGGTTATGACCCACCAGGTCGAAAAGAATGAGTTATGGATGAGACAAGGGAAGCCTACCTGTGCCATGCAAAAAACTGGTTCGAAAGTCTGAAAGCGGTGGGATCAGCACCTAAACATGCCCTCATCGTTTTCAGGAATGAAAATACCGGACCAGGAAATTGTCTTTGCATTGCATATCCAAACTCATCATATAAAAATGATTTACCAACACACCCCATTTGTGTTGAAATCTGGGAAGAAAAAGAAACACATAAGTCTCGTCTATGAAAGGAGAAGTTCAAGACAACTTGCAAATGGTGGATGCTGTCTCCTACCTGTGGTGACTTGGGAAGTCGATGATGTTCGCTTTCACCAACCCTCATCATCCCGTATTTTCCATCAGTTCAGTAGAGGTGTCCTTGTTCCCCATGCTTCTATTTCTTATGACCGTGCTCCAAGTTGTTGATCTTTAAACAAAAGTCAAGATAGTCAAGATGCCAATGTCGTTTGTTTGATCTCTGAACATGTATTTGACCGCCCTCGGTTGTCACCCTACGCCCTGCACGGCGCGCATCCGCCTTCGCCCGTCCGCGGCGCGGGCGCGCTGCCCGTGCTGCCGGCACGCCCGCGAAGAGTGAAGCGGCTCCGGAGGTGCAAGCCGCTGATGAAGTCGACGTGCTTCGCCAGCATGTCCTAAGCTTCTGCATCTTCGGATGGGAGAAACGGTGGGGCGCCCAGTTGGGGCAGTTGGGCGAAGTAAAAAGAAGATAGCAATCAGGAGCGCAGAGTTTGTAGAGCGATGGCGAGAGTGTAGATAGGAGGATGCTCTACTCAAAAAAAAGGATCTGTCAGCCAACGACTTCGCCCGGAAGCTGCTGGGCGAGCAAAGGTGGTGAAAAAGGATAAACGATGGCAATGAGCAAAAGAATAATTGTTGAGGCTGCTCTCAATCAGTTTGGCTTCCCTGATGGTTCTTATATAGAATTGAAGAATCAATGGGGGTTGTTACAGTCGACATTCCTGGAGGGGTTGCTTTCCTGCAGAAATGTTGTTGGTTGTTTTTGCATGGCCATGTCACAAACTCTTGTGTTTTCTCAAATATTGAAACGGAACAGGTCCAGTTGCTGGAAACCAAAGGTCTAAGCTACTTGCGGTGTCCAACTCCACTGGCCCCCTCCCCTTCATGGAGCTCCACCCACCCAGCTCCCGTCTTCACTCCCCAGCATCTGGCACGACCACGCGCTCTTTGGGTCTCAGACCAAAGCGGATGCGTCCAGGATGTGCCTGCGTCCGTTCGCTCCGCGCGAGTGTTTTGATGTGGCAACGTCCGTCTCGCTGCAGCGATTTTACATCATGACAGAAAAACACCTACCCCGCTGAAAACTGACATGGACCCTGAAAACGACTGGTTTGTAAAGGAAAACAGTCTTTCAGGGTACCAAAACCACACAGTCCATGTGAGTTGACTCGGGAGTGTATGTCATCCCTAGTATGTCATCCAGTGCCCAAAAACCTTGCGGAGGCTCCAAACAAAAAAGACTGCCGAACTTCCTTGCAGGCTTGGAGACCACAAGTGAGCGCTGAAGTATGGTACGTCGTTCCCCACACCTGAACCACCTAAAACCATCCTGGAAATCCAAACCAACAAACAAATGGATGGAACTCCCCAGTCCCAGCCAATGTCAAGGATCATAGTGAACATCTTGGAACGACCATTTGTTTCTGGTTGCTTGGGTTTCCGGCATGTGTGCTCTCAGTCGCCTGACAGGCACATGCCAGTTGCCGTCGCCGCACCCCCAGAACCGGGGCCCCAGAACCGAAAGCGTTCGTGCGCGGCAAGGTGAAATCGCCTGATGTTGGAAGGGTCTCAAGCGCAGGTTGAAGAGGGTCTCCAGCACAGGCACCCGCATCGTCACCCGCATGAAGTCCCCCATCTCGGCAGGGCCACCGACGTCGGGCGGTGCGAGTCAGGCCGTTCGGTGCGAGTCAGTCCACCGAGACCAACACACTCCGAAGCACAGACATAGAACGGTAGGTTGGTGACCTGGTGGGTCCCCTGGAAGAGCACATCAATGTGTTCGATTCCTTGGGGATCCCGCCATGCCACCATCCATACGCGTGTGTGATGCCCATCACAGACGCGTAGACCGTGATGTTCGGCCTTCGAAGTGAAAGAACCACTGTCAGGTAGTCTAACCAAGAGCACTCAGCACTCTTTCGTAGAGCTGGAGAGTTCTCTCTCCACAGCATGTCCCTTCATGTTCATCTGTATCTGTGATAGGGTTGATGAACATGCACTGCCCTGCAATATCCTGCAACACAGATATAGTATGATAGTAGATCCACTGTAAACAAGGGACCAGTCAGACCCTGATTGTGCAGACTTGTTTGGGTTCAAAGCAACTGTGGGTGACCTCCCACCCCACACCCACGGCCCCGGTCGAACCTGTGACACTTCGACCGCAGCGCCAACCGCATGGAACTGTGCTTGGAGCGTTTCTGCCCTTGCGCGAGTGCCCAGGAAGGCAGCAAAGCTCTCCTGGGTTTGGGTGTTGAAAAGGGCATGGTAGGGAGGATTTAGAGTGTGGGATGTGAGGAACATCAGGGTGCTTTCCATGGTGTTCTTGAAAGGATACAGTCCTACAACATCGTGTGCAAGCACGTGTTCGGCACGATGTTGTAGCAGTTTGATCATTCCTCGCAGCCAAACTCGACCCTGCCAAGCAACCAAACCCAAAGCCAAACCAACCAAGGGTGCTTTGGAAGGCCGTCTAGGGGAGGGAGCTGTTTGTGGCCACATTCTTTCCAAAAGGCCTCTTGGCTTTAATGTGCTTTACACCGATCACCAGGTTACCCAAGTCAACTTTCTCAATCCGGGCTGTACAAAAGTGGAGAGTCGTTTGCAGGAGCTGACCCGCCCTTTGCATCTTCTTAGCCTGCTTTGAAGGCAAGGGCAACATGCTAATCATCTCTTCACCCAGCCTGATCTGGCCACCCAACCCCTTCCTTCGCACACCGTCCCAGGCGCGTCCAAAGACCAGTAGCGGCCGTAGGTGCTACTGGAGGGCGAACTGACTCGTTTCAAGGACTCTTCCACGGCCTCCTCTGAGGGGTGCTTGACCTCAAGGAATGGTCGATTTGGATGAGTCAGCATAGGTGGATGAGCATAGGTGGGTGATGATGGTTTGACCCATCTGTTAGATAAAAAGTGTCAATCAAGGGCGAACAGTTTGAATTGAGCATCGCTCACAAGAAAGGCACAGGCCATTAATGAGCCCACAGATTCATGCATTGATTGGGTCTATCCTATTACCAGTAGCAGAGGATGATGATGATGATGATGATGATGGTGGTGGTGGTGGTGGTGGTGGTGGTGGTGGTTACTAAAGGTAGTGATAATTGTTTGCTGACTGTTCCAGGTGATAGGACAAACCCAATTCACGCTATTGGTTCCCAGGATGCCAGCACAAATAATACAAGTACAGAACAGATTCTGTGATATTCAATGTGTTCCTTTCAAATAGGCCTTTTCAGATTCCAGAGTTGTGCTTGACAAGAAAAAGTTTCGTTCACCCCAATTTCAGGACTCATCCCAAATAGGGGAGATGTCACCCATAGTGGACTCATCCCAAATTCATCCCAGGATCCGCCAGGATCAGCGCCACTTCATGTTCTTCTCGCGATGGCGATGCTCTTCCCAGACGCTGCTCGGAATCGATCAGCTCTTCCCAGTCGTTAAGAAGCTCCTTCTGGTTGATGTCCTACCAGTCGCACAACATCCAGTTGCATGGGTTGAGTATGTATCGCTTGAGACGTTTCGGTGTAGAAAGTGGCTTTTCTTGGGCCTTGAGCTGAAGGTTGTCCGGATGCAAAATTGGTTGGGACCTTTAGTCACTTTATCTATCCGTTCAAGAAGGAGCCAATTCACCACTTGAATTAGTCATGTTGCCTTTGGGTGAAACGTTCAAATTGTGGATTCTGCTGAACAGGGTCTCTTGATTTGTGTGTTGGGTTTCTCTCTGTGCGCTGAGTTGTGTAGAGAGTCGAGTGAAAATTGTCAAACTGATTCGAAGACGCACTAATCTTTGTAAACCAAAATGCCAGAACTGATCAGGGTACCAAGCAAAGACAAGCTATACTTATGGGATCGCAACCATCGCGTTGGTGATCTCAAAGACTTGGGCAGAGCCACCGCTCACCAAGATAAACCCATCCAATTCCGGCTTTCACACAAGCCTCCAGAATGGCAGCACCTGCCGCCCAAGCCAGCAGCAGAAGCCACCACCCCATGGGGCGCAACGGGGTTTGATTGGCGTTCGCACTACGCAAGCTGAACATTTCTGGAAGCTGAACATCTCCCTTCTCAGATCTCTTCAGCGAAAATGACTACAGTAACTGACCTACAATTGCAAATCTCCAACCTTGACTTGAGCTCTAGATTATGGCAAACAATCACACCCCTCACCAAAATATTTCATGAAAGGTTGTTTATGCTCTCACATCTCCAACTCGGCTGCCCTAGCAGTCGAACAGCTGGAGCCTGTGTCTCACCGGCGGCTTCCGCGCATGAAATCTGCATGTTTGGCCCAACCTGCCCGGGCCCTCGTCGTTGCCAGCTTCCCGAGCCTCCGTTTTGATGTAAAAGGACCAGCGGCCCACTGGAGGAGGCAGTGCGCCTCTTTTTTCTTGTGGCAAAAAGTCCGCATAAGAGTTTGGCGGTGCAAATCCACCCTGGACTGGTCTTGTTTCTGGTCTGCGGATGGCCCAGTGATCTATCCCTTGGCCAACGGCTCGGTTCATCGTGATCGAACGGCGGAGGGTTTTCAGTCAGCAAAGCCATCTTCCCAGCAGCTCGTCAGCAATGCAAGAGGTAAAACGGCGTTGGACTCCAAAGAAAGCAGCGCAGCTCGGCGAAAAGTGCCCCATTTGGTTGGCTCTTCTGACACGTTGGCTGCGACTGTTCCAGCCCCCCGTCGCATCGGAGCGTCGCGTCGTCGCATCGGAGCCCGTCGCATCGGAGCCCAGCCTTGCAAGGAAGGTCGTCGTACTCGAAATCAAACTCCTCCGCCTGGAAGCGCCCCCCACCGGGAGTGGGTGGCTCTTCAAAGCTGCCTTTCTTGATTCATCAGGATGTGGTTTTTGCTCAATCTGGTGCTGTGCTTCATAAACTTGAGAGAGGAGGGGGTGAACGAAAGGTAGCAGGCAATCACAAGTAACCCTGGTAGAAGTCCATGACGGCGTGAACCGGCGCAGGGGGGATTTGATCCAGGGGGGGGGGCCCCCCCGAACAGAATCAACTCTTACAGGACCAAATTCAATGCACAATCCCAACTCCTGATTGTAATACATTTTTGCTAAAGCAAGGAGAACTCAGGTAGCTCAAGCTACCTTTCGTGACCTGAAACTTCAGGAGCTCAGAGCAACGGATTCCGTCACCTTCATTCAGCGCAGTCACACCAGTGCTAGATCGAGCACCCGCATCCGTGCCCTGCCTTCAGGAAGAGATTCAGTGGTGCCACCGTGCAACGCACGGCGAAAACCTCAGTGCAGGGCACGAGCTGTGGTGGAAGGTCTTCGAAGCACTCTGCTGACCACTGCTTTCCCAACAACCCAAAAGCTGCAAGTGCTCAGAAACGAAAAGAACAAGAGTAGAGAGCTCCTCAACGATCACCACCATGTCCAAAGTGCTGCGTCTGCCACGAAAACTGCATTTCGAAGTAAAACAGCTCCGATCCCTTGCACCTGTCACGAAAAGTCGACTTTGGAGCACCAAAACACGAAGTTTCCCCGCACCTGCCACGAAAAGTCACCACCATGTGCGAAAATGTGCACGGCACCACAACGAGACTGCAGTCGCTAGAAGCACCCGCCGCCGGCAGGCAGATTTTGTGAGCCTGCGCAGTCGAAATGCACATTCACGATGTCGAGAGGCATGAATGTACTATAAATAGCAGCGAATTAGCCGCACGCGCCCGTGCGCTTCAGCGATCTAAGCATCAGCTGCTTTACACCTACCGTAAGAACCCCTAGTGTGTCCACACTGTTTGGGGAAAAAAGAACTGGACCAAATAGGTGTTCAACGGCTTTGACCCATCTTTTGCTTCTCTTGAAACGTGGCGATCCACTGAGTGCCACCACCAGGTAGGCCACAGCCAGCTCCGGCCCAGTCGGGAAGACCAAACAGAGCCGGTCCTCCACACTATCGGCGGTTGGGGGTCCGACGGTGGTGTTAGGTTTCTATAAGTCCAAAACATCCGACTTGCACGTGCGAGACAAGCGAGACACCATTTGATGGGCGGTCCGCTTATCAAGACCTTTGCGTCGTCTCAAAACCGCCTATCCAACTAGAAAGACTGGTCCTGCCTACACTGGTACCAGCGAACACGAGGTCCACCTGGGTGGCTCGGCGTCCCGGATCCGCCGTTCGACCGGTCGCCGAGCTACCGGGAGACCGGCAGGTCGTTCTCCAGTCGGCAGGTCGGTCGTTCCACCCATTGGGTGGGAGACCCTCAACCTGTAGGCTATCCAGTTTAGACTGAGGTGATCCATTTGGGTGTGTGATACCATCCGGGAGACCTGGCCCAAGGGGTCGACTGGTCTATTTCCTAAACCCCCTGCGAGGTCTCCCTATTTAATTTACGCCCACTATTCTGTAACGAGTTTGGCCCCTGAGCTGTCCTCTCTCTCCATGCCGGGCAGGTCATTCTTCTCATCCACGATGAAGGCCTGGAAAAAGAAACGACAAAGGTCAGTCTGCATGGTCCGTGTCCCTACGCATTGTGGAGTATATAGAAATAGTCTGGTGGCCATGGATTTATGTCAAAGATGGTAATCCGAAAATGGAGAAAGAGATCCTGCAAGTACCTAGAGAAGCCTAGGCATTTGGGAGTAGGATTCGAGTTGGAAGCCGTTCTGGTGCTATAAATCCAATGTCTACCGACTCTACAATCGCGATGAGCAGTAAGGGTCTGATTTGTCACGATTGACCTGCTCCTTTTGTTAGAACAAAGCGGGAGAACATCTAAATACCAACTGGTCTTTTCCACACCCCGACTCAACAAAACATGAAAGGAAAAAAGGACTGAGATAGGCTCAACTGGACTCTATCAACATGCCTCGCAAAATCCACGTAAACAGCTGTGATGCGGAGAACATCCAACTGATATTGGGAGGTTGCAGGATGTTGCAGTGCTCTATCAACCAAGGGGTGCCTTTTCTTCAGAAACTGCTTTGAGGTGGCTCAAAGCGTGTTGCATAGGTCTCATCCCTACCAAGCCACTGTCAAATGCGTTGTGGTCTTAGCTCAAAACGCTGCTGAAGCTTTTGCGCAAACAAACCGGTTAAGAGTTCGCAGGGGACCGCAACTCAATTCCCACCCGCCCTGTACAAAGGATTGAGTGCAACATCCCACAAAACCCATGGAAAGTTCTATGCATTCAGGTGGAGGATTACAGAACTATAGAAGGATCGGCACGGTTTTGGGTGATTTTGAGGGACTGGGATCCCTGGATCCCCCCCATTGGATGGGGGGGCATCGCTCCCGCCTGACTCGAACACCCCTGCCATCACCTCCACTGACGACCACCGAGCTCAGGAGCTCCGTTCCTTCAGCTCCTTGAAGCTCAAGGGCCGCCGGCCGTCCGTGGAGTAAAGGAAGGGATCCGCCTGGGGGGGAAGGACGAAATCCTGGGATTGACGTGGGAGATAGACCGAGGAGGACGAGGTCCACCTACGAGGTTGTTGGGCTCCAGATGGGTCAAACCCACAGCCATCGACCCTGGAAAAGGGTGGGTGATTTTTTGAGAGTCCTTTCTGCTGAAATGAAGGATCATGAAGGATCAGAAAGATATGTAGATGATTTATGGGTCATCCTGATCCTCTTTGATTTATGTTTATAGGTCATCCTCTTTGAGAGAATGAACAGGCTGGATTTGCAGGAATTTGCGGATCTGTTCAGCGTTCAATTGATGGATCATAGTCCAATCGTCCAAATTCAAGAGAATTGTACGCACCCAGACCATGGTCAACCAGGTCCCGTGCTTCGGGGGTTAGGGTTTGGAACAAATTTGATCCAGATTGACGCATCCAGAGATCCATGAGGTACAGTATGCCTCTATAGAGTGGTTTGGCCACCACAGGCATGTGGGAACACCGAAATGTGGGAACGCTGAAAATCCACCAGAAAGATCCAGAAAGTAGGAGCCTGTGACACCTGAAGTGTTCCTCAAGTTCTGCCCCCCAAGTGAAAGAAATATCTCAGTGAGCCTGGGTGTCCCTTGTTCGCAGATTTGTTCTGCTTCCCCACTGAACAACTTGAGCAATTCGGTTATAGCCTCAAACTCAAAGCGCCACCATTTACAAGCTAATCACGTACTCCGCGTTGAAAACCCCAAAACCCCAAACCACCCGTTAATCGCAGTGGCGGCCAGCCAGGTCGCACATGGCAAACGACCACGACGACCGCGCCTTGTCGGGCAAGAAGTCCCAAAAGGTCTTCCAATCTCCACCTAGCTGGACCGGCAACCTCTGCACTCGTCCGCACTGGCGATCGTCCCGTCGTGACCTCTCCCACGAAGAAAAACGACATGCAAGTGGATCCACCTGTGATTGGAGACCACCTGTATCTTTTTAGACCAAACGACGTAGACAAAACGTCTTCCACATCGAAGTTGAAGCCTCCAGATCCCGAACTTCCGGAACTTCCGGCACTGACAATCGTTCACAATCCCCCAGACTCTATCAGACTCTATCACCAAGAGAACATCACCAAAAGCCGCGATCGGATTCCCTGGCAAATTCACAGCCATATCTGGTGCGCGAAAACGCTTCAACGCACGAAAATGCGCGCGCAAACCGCTCAGCGCCTACGAAGTCGGTGGCCATCTTCTGCTTGGAGGGGTCAAAGCCTTAGATCCGGACTGTGTCGGAGTCGGTGTGAAACAAGAGACAAGGATGAGAAAAGGGGGGGGTGTTCACGGCCAATCTCCCGCTCCGGACGCTCCGGACGATGCCCGCATCACCGCTAAGCCAGGAGCCGTCTTGTGCAGGCATTACAGGACCGACGTCCTGCCGGGTGGTTTTGACCGATGTGGCTCTCCCAGCGTCGAAATTCAGCGAGAGAAAAAGGGATCCTCGTTCTGCAAGTACCTTAAACAAAAATAAGTTCGAGTGATCATATTCGTCCCGGTCAGTAGTTGAGCTGTTTGGCCCATGGACCGTTTCAATCAAAACCGCCAAAAAGACCGTCTGACCAGACCGTCTGAGTGGTCGACGAATGGCATGCTGTTGCATCTGCCAAGCTGCTGAGCCCTACCATCCTCCCTGACCCTAAATCCATCTAAATCCCCATCCCAGGCATTTGGCCCATTTGGGCGGAGTTCTTTCAACCAAATCCCATCCTCGACCCCACCTTCGGTGGGCCGGTTGGGCCTGACCTTCCATCGAAAAATGTCATCAGCAGGTTGGATCGGGTGGACTCGCTGGGCTGGTTTGGAGATCCACCAGAGACCGGCACGTGGATGGTTCCTCTCCAGGGTGATGTGGTTCTTGTAGATGAACATCACGAACATTCAAGAACCCTAAAGATCCAAAACTTCACAGTTCCCGACTCAGTGAGACACTCCGCAGGTCTTTCAACGATCCACCCTGCTCAACGGTCCCAGGTCAGGCTCCTACTGAAAGCTTGCGGGGTCCAACAATCCAAGCTCCATCTATATTGATATGACATATAATAACATATATATAATATATAACATAATATAATATATGTGCATGTATTGCATATACTATATATAGAGAGAGTATATGTATAGAATTTTCGTATAGCTATGCTGAGCTATGCTTTGAACGCCAGGAAAAGAACTCAAGAAAACCGAGGATCCGCGAACGCGGAGTACCGCCACCAGATCCACGGTTCCAGCGAAACGGCTGAGAGCCGAAGCTGTGGAGTGTTTACCGCAAACGGCTCACCACTTAACGAAGAACCTGTGGAAAAATACATCATGTAACCTGATGTATCAGGTTCCACTATCGTTGGAAGAACCATCTAACGTTGGAAGAACTTGAAAACTATCCGAACGTTCTCTCCAACTCCGAGCCCACCGGTCGACGTTCTCCGTTCAGCTCCTTTGCTTGCACCGCGCCACCCATATCTTGGGCCTCCATCTTTGGCACCGTTTTCACCGAAGACTCCGACGTAACTTCCTCAGACGGTGGAACAGAACACGCTCCACAGTCAGAGATCTTTCTCCCGAAAGGGACGGTGGACTGGTGGCTGTGTAGCTGTGTGTTTTCCTTGACATGATTCGGTACTCTGCTCCCGTGTGACGTACTTTGGGTACTTTGAAGACTTTGAGTCTGAACGCTCTCCATGTTCCTCTCATCACCCCCTCAAAGCGAAAGCGGTGTCTAAAAGCTTGTGCTAACTCTACATCAGCTCCGGAGTGACATGTTTAAGTTTGCATGAGCCCAAAAGCTGAACGTAGGTCCGGTGGCGGTGGCTCGCGAAATGATCCACGTGAATGCCCAGGGCTTTTGAACTGTTTGTAGCACTGAGTAAATTTGAACCAAATTGATCCAAATCGAACAGTTGTAAGATACTAGGCAGCTACAATGTTTGCAACGCCATTCCAGTTGAGTGTCTCCAGCGATGGCAGCCCAGCAAACACACATAAATGTTCCAGACCTCTTCATCATAAGTTCCAAATACCCGCTCCTGCACACCCCTCTTCTGTGGGCGGTGATGGTGTTTCCCACTTTGACAACAGTTCAATGTCAGATCATCCAGGCCAATGGTTGAAATCGGTAATTGCAAGCTTATCAAGCTCCCATTGAGCTTGCCCTTGAAGCCACTCTTGTAGATTCAACCCAACACCCGAAAACTGTAGCCCTGGAAAATGTGATTCACAACATCTGTATGATTGTACAAGTCTCTGAAAGGAGGCCCAAACCGTTGTTTCAGCTTACTGGGATTCGCCAACCCAAGCCATGGCAGCGAGCCTCCCGAGCCTGGGTGGGGAGGCTCCGTTACGGCGCTTTCTTGGCCAGCAACCGATTCGCACGGCAAGTCGGTCAGCAAGTCAGCCCGACGTGAGGAATGGGCCAATAACTCTGAAAGAAGACCCGCTAGGAGCCAAATCAGCATTCCTTGATGGGCTTTGGGAAGGGAATCCAAACAAACAGTTTCCAACCCATGGTGGGTGTTCACACTGTACAAATCATTCCTCAAGCCAAGAGCATGCCAATCACCACCAGTGTCAAGCACCCTGCCAACAATATCGCACCAGAGCGGTCCGCAAAGTCCTGCGTGGTGGAACCCAACTCCGGCGCCCGATGTTCGACGACCGGCGCCCGGCCCGGGCGACGTGATGGGAGAGAGACATCCTTCAAGCGAGGACGTGAAGCCGATTGGACTGAGAGACTCGGACTTCCAAGCGATTAAGGTCCACATTGCATGGGACGGTTTTTGGGGCTGTTTCAAAGCATGTCAATCTAATCCATAGTCCAGCAGCCTGCAACATCCTTTAACAGCACTTGGCAACTGCCTTCAGTAGACTGACCATCTCCAAGGTTTGTGAATAGTCTTCTTCCACCAACAAATCTAGACCGCAGCAGACAATGCAGACATGCCGCTTCACAAACAAACATAATTTGTTGAGTCAAGATCTACTTTGAATCGTATGCATGCGAACAGAAGTTGTATGCGATGTCACCTGCAAAATCATGCAAAATCTCTGGGCTGAGCTGCTGGGGTTTCTAGTGTTGGCAGGCATCCATGAATCGTGAAACTTCCACCAACACTACCCTCCCCAGGTGATACGACCCAACGACTAGGCACGGAACGCTTCCATTCATCCACCTTCGCACGACGAGCCCCGCTCCTCCAGCTTCGCGGTCTGGCCTCGGCGAGCGGGTGCTGCGCGACCGGATGGATCAGACGAGCGAACGCGCGGGGAGCGACGGGCGAAAGAGGCGTGACCGAAACTGAAGTCCTCGAAGGTTGCCGCAACGACGCTCTTCGTTGGAGCTCGGAGAGAAACTGGAGAAAAACCCGGATGAATGGCCGATGTGCGATGGAAGGGTCCATCACAGCAGTGGCTTTTGCGATTTCGCAATAGCATGTTGAGTTGGGGACATCCGGGCAACCTTCGACAAAAGTCTTTACAAACACTCATGTCTTCCAAGCAGGCAGTCTTTGCGAATCCTTCCGGAGGGATGGGCGACGTCCGAGTCGCTCACACCACGCCCCTGGTTGCCCATGCATGGGCATGGGGTTTCGATTTTGATAGGTGGACCTCCCAAGGAAGGGGATCATTATTGGATGTGATTGGGAGGTCTCCGTATTTTAATACACAGTCACACCCACATGTTGTGATTTGCTCCCGGTGGGTCGGCCGGTCGCGGCCAAACGGAATTGGAGATCCCAACAGACGTTGCATCACTCAAATGCGCATGGGTGAAGACCAAGCAAAACCCCCAACTCATGGTGGACATGCGAGGGAGGTCGTCGTTTTGCTCATGTTCAGACAACCAGAGTTTTGAGGGATTTTCACCCACAGCTACAGCAAGGAACCCACACCCAGCATCACCCAGCCACGGACCGGCCTCCTTCTCTGAAGGCACGGTTGCGACGGACCTGCTTCACCACGGCATGGATCAAGATGAGCAGGGAGGCAAAGCTCACCTTGGGGGGCCCAAAAGCGCCCAAAGAAAGCCGAGAAAGATCGTGGCACTGCCATCGGGCAAGCTACTAGTAACAAAGGGCATCACTTTCTTCACGGAGCAAGAACGCTACTACAAACAGGGGCTCTCCTGGCAGCTACAAACGGAGCAAGTATAGCTACTAGTACTACTTAGTAACAAGAAGCTGGAAAACTCCGAGAAGCCAGAACTCCTGCTTGTTATAGCTACTCCTACTACTCCTTGTTCGTGGTCGTGAGAATCGACAGCCCAGAACTCCTTCTTTTCGTCCGCATCTCGACGATCCCGACGTGCTTCGCACGGTGGGGACCGTGGGAGACCGGTTCGCAGAGGCGGAACCGGCTTCACTTGCGGAACGAGCTCTTGCGTTTTTCTGGTGTTTTGCTCTTGGTTTGCTGATAGATCGCAAGGGACTAAGGGTTGATGGAGAGCCCTATGCCATGGTCCTGATGTGTCACCCACTGTCGACTGCAACTAGGGCGTTCAACGACAAACACACCTTACCAAGGTATCTGCTCCCACGAAGAGTTTCCAGTGACCAAGCCTCATCGTTGACACAACAGAAGAGGCAAATAAGGAATTTGGTACACTGTGGTACACTTGCTATATATGGTGTAATTGTAGTTTTTAGTTGATGAGTACCACACTATACCACAATATCAAAGCACCATGTTCATCCATGTTCTTTTTCCTCCTTCTTTTCTGTGCTAGGGTTTCTTGCGGTTGTGGCTCTGGCGTCAAAGCTCCTCCACCCTCCAGCTGATCTTTTTGCCCAGCCACCACCAGTCCAGAGATCGACACCTCTGTGCTCTGACCGCTCGTCAGAAGGACCTGGTGGGCAAAGGAATACGACAAGTCAGAGGGTTTGATTTCACGAATCTTGGAGACTTCTCCACTACTTCACTGGTTCTTCTTCCTTACCTTGACCAACACCTTTACAAAACAACCTTGCGAACGCTTCATTCCTTCTTTCACATTAAGGGCATTCTACTGGGCGGCTGCCGAGCGGCCGCACGAGCAGCGCTCCTTTGGGTCTGCGCAAAAGGCCGGTGCCAGGTGGCCAGGCTTGAGGTGTTTGGAAAACCCGGTGGTGACCAGGCTTGAGGTGTTTCTTCAAGAAAAGGAATTGCAATGTTTTTTTTTCTGGTCAGACTTGGTTGAGCAAACCAAGATACAAAGCCCTGATGTAGACTCACTAACTCGGGGGAGAAAAGGTCTCCTCCTCCTCCTCCCCCTCCTCCATGCGATGCAGCGAAAGCATCAGACCTTTCCCTGAATGAGCTTGGAAGACTGAGGGTCCATCAGTTTCAATTATATGTGTATGTTGACCTAAATAGCGATGGCGTCCAACCTATGTGTATGTTATTGGTGTTTTAAGTTTAAAGGCAATCTCTTTTTGAGACTCCGACTGCAGATGCTGCCGCAAAGACTGTGGCCAGCTTGGCCTCACGCAGAAAAGACATCTTGGAAAGCTTGGTTAAGAGGGTGGGGTTCATCGACAAGAAAGGGGCTTATCCAGAGATTCAACAACGACGACAGCAACAACAGGCTATCGTCTTGAGGATGTGTTTGCTTTGAGTCAGGGACACCTTGGTAGGGTGGATCAATGAGAAAGGCTCTCGTCTCGTACACTGTGAGGAAATTCAGCAAGCCAATGGGCAAAATGGTGTTGATTTCTGCAACCAATTGGGAAGAAACCGCATCCAATGCATGTTTAGAGGTTCAAGGGATTCATCTGGCCGTGTCACGAGCTTGACCATGTTCCAAGATCATAGGAGTTCCTCAGAACCAACGCGTTGTTCCATCGAACCACCCCCAAAAATATTTCGCCTCTCCGGAGATTCTCCGTGGAATCTGCGCTGTCACGGTTTCTCCGGAGACTGGGGCGTCCAAGCCCAGTGAATGAAGGTGCGCTCGGTGGAGAACCACACCTGAGTGGCCCAGCTGTTGCAAAAATATCCTACCGAGTTCGTATATCCAACTCTTTGCAGTGTAGTCTTGCATCGTGCGCAGATATGCTAGGTGCAGGATGTCTTTCATGAACTGGAACAGTTTGGGTGACTTACAAAAGCTGGGTTATGTATATCTATATGCAAAAATACAGTTTCTTTTGCTGACCTGGAACTGTTGGGGTGATCGGGTTCTGATCAACTGTCAAGAAGGTCCATGCTGGGTTCTGACCAAAGTGCCCTGTTGATTTGTGCTGCTCATCCTTACAAAAATCATCCACCCAGCATCCACCCCGAATTGTGGGTTCACCCGAAAAAGCTGGGTGTTGGTCAGGTACTCCAGGTACTAAACCAGCATAGTCTTGGCAAGTCTTTACCCACTTGGCAAGCTTTTGACCCAAATGACTCCCCCAACCCGCATGGCGTCTACACATGGCACGTGCGCCTTTGGTTCCAGCTTCACCACCACCATGGTGTTACGCCGCACCGCTGGTGCCCTGGTTTCGTGGTTCTCTCGGAATCTGGAGCTGAAAAAAAGAAGCATTGCACTGTGAAGGACTTCGTGGCCTGTTTTTCGAGTCTGTGGCAGATGCGTTGTCTGCGATCCTTGAACCAATTTCACGAGGCATCATGGGATCAGCACAAACTGGAAAACGCTGCCATCACCCGTGACTTCCTTCTCCAAGGAGCTTTCCGATGGCCATGTTTGTATCGGATAGAACCAAGCTTTGGCCTGAGGAGCTATCACTTATCATATACTTACATATCCTTATATAAGACTTCCTTTAAAGTCCTTTGCAAGCACCTGGTATCATATGCCAAGTAGGCGGCCCCAAGTGAGGATGCAGTTGGGACTCGTCTTTGATATCCATCCACCACGGATTCATCGTTCAACAAATAGCGGCTGCAGCAAGGACCCGTTCACCCTATGAACCGTGGCGGGCGGGTCCAGCGCACCTAACAAACTCCCAGTGTTTGGTACTTCCAGTGAACGGACGACACTGCAAAAGAAGAAATGCGGGATTGATAGAGCCAACTTCTACATGAAGACCTTCCACTCTTTGATCTTCTTATTGTACAGGTCAATCCCTTTCCTTTGAGCTCCAGTTACCCCAGTATCTCTCCCCTTCTTTTTCGCTCATCGTAGGTCGCGAATGGGATAGGAACGCCACTCTTCACCTGGGCGACAACATGTTTTTTTCCAGGTCTCAACGATCCATTCACCAGGTCGAGATGGAGTTCACGCATCTCCCCAGCATTGTAGGGAAGACCCTCGTTGCGGAGTGCAACAACACAAAACACATGGAAAAAAGGACCAGTCTTGACTCAGCATCTATTCCCTGCGCGTAAAAACTCGGTTGTTCAAGGTTTAACGTTTCACGGTTCAAGCGGGACTCGCTAGGCACAGACGAGAAATCATTGTCAAATGGAACATGAAGGAAGATCAGGATCAAACAACAATACGCTCCGTATGATCCTCTTTTCAAACATTTCTTAGCTCTATCTGCTTTGCAGTGTGAAGCGATTATATCAAAATGGCACTTCCCACGAAACTCTGCATGAAAAATCCCCACCGGTCGCTTCCAGCCAAGCGAAGAAAGGTTCAGGTCCGGATGAAAGACATGCTGAGCCGAAGGAACAGCCAGTGTTCCTTCGCCCGGTCCTCCGCTCGGACTGAGACTCCCGACCCCTCGGTGCCTCCCACGGGGAGGGACGCCCAGCAGCTGGGACGCCCGCTAAGGGCCCCAAGTAGTCGCAGACCACCTGGAGAGCGGTGTCCACCCCGTAGGAGAGAAACGACTGGGCTGGTATGCCATGGTGGCTGGGGGTGTTCAACCAACGAGGCTCTGGAGGATGAATGCTAGGTGAGCCTGGCAGTGCCACACAGTGCCGGCTTTTCGGTTGGCATCTGTTTGATCTGTAGTGCCCAAATAGATCCAGACCTTGATAAAAGTCAATGTTCCATCCATCTTGGGATTACGATGTCATCCATGTGTATATATATATATATCCTGTGGAAGATGATTTCTTTAAGACCTATTCCTCTAGACTCTAGACCTCATCCATACGCACGCCTGCCAATCCTCGATGGTGGATTCCAGAAATTCATTCAAGCTGTAGTTCGTGGTCTTGTACCGCTCGCTCACCTGGGCACGTGAGACCTCGCGCCTCAAAGCCTAGACGAGGGACCTCATCGGAGGTAGACGGTGGGAGGAGAAAATGGACAAAGGTCCCAAGAAGAAACCCTATGTAAGGCATTGTTCTACCTGGAGAAGATGAGTCTCCATCATGGTTCCCATTCTTTTCCACAAACAAGTGGCCAACTCCACTGGAACCTTTTCCCACCAACCCCTGGTCTCGAACATCTTCCACTTTTGTTCAACCTTTGTGCGGAACAAGGGGATTGGATCGGATTGGATGTTGTGAGGGCACACGCCGGGTCAAAACATGTCATTATGCTCATTGTACAGTACTAGTTTACACAACAGTTTCTGCCTTGGTTTCCGTATGTGTCATGGTTCAAGCCAGCCTGTTGGATGTGTATGTGTCATTCATTTTGACAACAGTTATATATAATACTATAGGTATAGCGACTGTCTACTTCGTATCTGTTTCTTCAAGGTAGCACTCATGTTGCACGCTCCTGGGCTTCAGAATCAGAGGACTGACGGCATGAAACTGTGCACATGGGGTTCCCTCGAAGGCTGCTAAAGCCGTAGATTCTCGTTCAATGTGAAAATTGTTCTCCAACCCACATCCACATTCCTGAAATGCAAGACATCTACACCACGTACTTCTTGTAGATGGCAGTTCCAGAATGCATTTGGAACTATCATGAATTTCCAACATCAAAGACATGTGGGGGTGGAAAAAAAGGAGAAACAGGTTCCCGCCAACAATACCAATCCAAGCCGTTTCTGGGACTCTCCCATGATTGAACTCCTGAGGGAAGAACCTGGACTGCCACCCGGAATATGACATCCTCCCCACAGTTCCCGGTTCTTGTTCCATGTCGATGCAGGGTCTATTTTCGAGACCCCAACAGGTTGCAGCATCGAAAAAAAACAATGCACTGGTCGAAAACCAGGCCAGGAGCACCGTGGTATGCCAGCAGTACACAGGAGAGCCCGGCTTCACACAGTTGTCTGCCACGATGCCTAGGAGATGTTGACGACACGGTCTTAGCAAAATGACCACACAAAAAATATATACCTTACTTTACACCTTTCCAAACATATATTTTTTATATACATACAATTTTCATACCATCATATATGAACATACTCCAGTGCAGCTAGCTCACATGAGCATCCAGCTACCTCCGGCACTTGGACCCAGCATTGCGCCACAAAATGAGCCTATCCTGGGCCTACATTCCGATTAAAACAGCCAAGTCCAACCTTTTCTGGGAACAAAGAAAGCACCGCCCAAGGACCACAAGGACCAAGGTTGGGCGTCTCCCAAGCAATCTCCAGCATCTCCCGACCTCCACCCGGTTCCGCGACCTCAGCGGCGCAAGGTTCCTCTCCGCGTCCCGGTTCCGCCCAGGTCGGTCTGGACGTTCGGTGAACGCGGCCCAGGCGCGGCAGTTGGGAAACATCAAGCTCAGCTCTTCCAGCTGCGAAAGGTCATCGTGGAAGGTGGTCCCCCGCTGATCCATGAAGACCATGTTCAACGACATCTCCCCATGCTCCTGGATGAGGCAGAGAAGAACTGCAACCCAAAAAACGACGCTGAGTGCTTTTTGAGAACTTTTGGACACACTGAACTTACTTCAGCGAAAAGATGACGGGGTGTTGGTTGCACGTGACAAGGCGGAGCTTTTGTGGTTTGTGGTTTTAAGAGTTGGATCGTTTATTGCTGGTCATCGACGAGTCATCCATTTGCCCCCCCAAATGACGACGTTTCGGGTTCCGCAGATGGAGCTTGTTACAATGAAAGACTCTTTCTGGAAAGTTCAAAATTGAGAACCGCTTCCCTCGAAAAGCCAAATCCAACTGGTGTGACAAAGTGAGACCTGGACACGAAACGAAGAAAAAACATGGACTACTAGTAGCAAAAAGCTACTAGGGTGGAGGCCATTACTACTAGTAAGAAGGACCCAAGTACCTGTCTTTTTTCCTCTGCAGTGAGACAGATGTCGCACCCATGCAGCCTGGCCATGCCTGTGGTCGGCTCAGGCTTTTTTGCAGGGGAGTCTGGATCGTTCAAAGAGTCAGGGAGTCGGGGTCCTGCATTTCTGCACGTTTCCTCGCTCGCAGTGCCAGTAATTGGCAAGCAGCTGTCAAAAGGCCGCGAAGAATAATTGAAAAATAGAAAACACATGAGTTGCAATGACCCAATCTTGCAGTGATGTGGTGGTGTATGGTGGTGTTGCACGATGGGGTACTTGCAGCTGAAAACCCCACACCATTTTTCCATTTCCATTTCCATGAACGCTTAGTGCTCGGTACAAGCTCAGCGTCTTGCTGATGTGAATTCGCTAATTTCATGCATGGAAGTAGTCAGGACCAGGTTCACAAAGCTGTTGGTCTTCGAACTCTAAGACCAAGCTTCTGAGCCACTTCGTGGACTCGGTGAATGTCATGGTCCTGCTTGGTTGGTTTTCCATCCATAGTCTGAAAAGGTTGGCCCCAAAGGAACAAAATTCAGGCGGGTACTCCTTGAGGTGACTGGTTCGCCATTTACCCTTATTCAGACCGATGTTGGAGCCCTTCGCACACGTCGCGCAGCGCATTGCGCGTTCGCAGTGTTGTGCTCTGGCGAGCTCGACTCCGGACAGCATCAAGGTGGTGGGTTTCGGGCTGTCTGCTCCGAAAAAACCCTGCAACACATCAAGAAACACAAAAAGATTAGTTTCTTGAAACCACCGGATGATTTGGGTCATCCAAATGGATGGGGCCTTTTTGCGTCGCGTTCCACCTGTGTGTGGATTCCGGGGGTGCTCAAGCCAAGAGAATCCGCCAGAAAGTGCTTGTAAGAGAACAGCTTTTAAGCAAAACAGCATTAAAACGTTCCCTATGGAAACCTGTTGACCCTCTCGTTTGGACAAGCTGGCAAGACCCCACAGGTGAGGGTCACATCTCACTGGACGCGGTCCTCGTTGTAGTACGTCTGGGAGGCTCTCCCACCTCGCAATACTCCAGGATTCACAGGGCGGCCCACCATACAGCCCTGCAACGAACCCTCCTCGTATCAGATCATACCACAATTTCTGTTGCTGCTCTTGAGACAGGTCGCATCGAGCAGGGTCGATGGCAACATCGACGGAAACTACCGTCATCACCACACCAGGTGGTAATGGCAGACGCTCAAGCTCCATTTGAATGTCTCGCTCTCTTCGACGTCCACTGAAGAGGTGCAGGATGATCAATTCAGTGGGCAGAAAGCTACGCAGCTTGGGATCTGCAGGTCGGCATTGAACATGTCGCCTGCTAGCCTCGTCCATGAAAGGACTTTCGTCCTCAACATTATGGGACAAAAGGGCTGTTCGTCCAAGGTTGATCAACCAACTCTGAACTGCACATCCAGCTTGGTAAATCCTCGCATCTGTCAGTTCAAAATCTTGCACCCATGTATGAAGACTCATTCACAGAGTTGTGAAGGGCACCGCAACTCTGCATGCTTCTTGGAGTGTATAAGTCAGTTGATCTACAAAGTCGTCTTCTTGTTCTGGGCATAAGAAGGTGTGGATCGCTTCTTGAAGAAGAGCCCTAACTTTCTCCGCATCCCTGTTGGGTTGATTCGGTCCTTCAAAAGCGTCTTGCTGAAGTCGATACCATGGAAACTGAGGACGCTTAGACCATGGCTTCTCTGATGCAGGAAGCACATCTCAGTTCCGCTGGAAAAAGGCTCGACATGAGGCACTATATCGAAGGTGATGCCTCAAGCGCTCCTGGGATAGGTAAACCTTCGCACAACAATGGCATGTTTGCCCTTGCACTGCCTCGCTTGATTCACTTACATAGTTATGTTTCTGAGAGGCGTGTAGGAACCATCCTTGTGGGGCAGAAAACGCCCTTTCGCAAATCACACAAAAATGCTGTCCATGCCGTGGTTGCTCTGAAGACACAGTGAGTCCATTGCTCTCCAGAATCTCATGAATGTGCTTGTGTGCTTTGACTGTGGCAGCATTTCTCAGTCTTGCTTGCGTTGCTCTGTATAGAGCTGTACGGCCGTATCGTGCCCATTGAGCTGGTTGTGCTGCCAAGCGTCTCCACGCCTCACCTTCTGAAACATCACGAACTGAAGAGTCTCTATCAACTAATGTATGTGCCCATTTCAATGCTTCACAATATATGCGCATTGCGCTAGAGTCATCCGCAACAAGTGACCACAGGATGTCAGGCGCAGTGCGCAGAAGGGCGCCAAAATACCTAAATCGTGCGATCTGTAGCAGATCTTCTGGGTCATCACATCCTAAGTAACATCGGATGTCATCACGCGAAGGAGCAATGAAATTTCGTGGCATCATCAAAGAATATAGGTTCCAGAGCGAAGTGTTCCATGCTTGACCTTCTCGGTGGTTCAGCTCAGTCCACGCTCCAGAACCCCATGTCATAATTGACATCACTGTTGACGGAAAGATGACCATTCTTGTCTCCAAAGGAACCCTGCGCTGTCTGAAGACATGCTTCGCAGCCCTCCAGAACGCTGATCGAGCCTTTGAAAAACGAGTTCGAATTTCCGGAAGCAAGCTTCCATTGGCATCAATAATCCCTCCTAGATGGCGGTATTTGGGGACCAATGGAAGCTTAATGCAGTCGTCCTCGAGCAAGACTGGAAAAGTCGCATTTGTGGCAGCAAAAAGTCTTCGGCGAATAGAGACTGCGCCCGGTCCCCGCGGTGACACTACTGCTGCAGTTTTGGTTTCACCAATCGACACCTTCATGCCATACTTCTGAAGCTTCTGTAGCAGAATGTGTGCAATTAGTGCCAAACGACTTTCGATTTGACTCGCATGCTCAAACTCAGCAAGGACAGCTAAATCATCCGCCCATGTGACTTGGAACATAGGAAGCACCTCCTCTGTTATCGGACTGAAATACGGGTCTCTCTCTTGACGAAGTGGCATGTAAAGCAGGAGCCCTTGGTCTTTGAGCTCTTGCTGAACCTCCGTGAGCACTTGCGAAAAAACCAAGTTGAAAACGATATCGGCCAACGAGTCACCGGGCCTGGTGCCTCGGAATGTTTGCACAAATTCACTACCTGTATATGTGAAATATGTGCCTTCCAGTGTTTCTTGCAACACCTGGTGCTGCACAGGTCCAGCTCCGAGCTCCTGATATGCACATTTTTTGGTCATGCTGTCATGGATGAGGGACATGGACTCAGGGCCTAAGCCCATCCTATGCAAAACCAGCGCAAGATCATCGTCAGTCAAGCTAGCTCCTGTCGCGATCTGTCGCAACACACGGTAGTAGGCCGATTGGACAGCGCAGAAAAGGATCGCCGTACTCTTTTGCCGCCGTTTCCCTCGGTCTACAAACAAACGAGACACTTGGGTGCCAAAGAGGACTTGTTGCATTGGTTTACCTCCAAGTTGGAGGTCATCGGTGGCAGCGAGATAAGGCTCATTGAGCCGGTCCCGAATGGTCGATCTGACAGCTTTACCAAGCACAGAGGTCAAAAGAATGCCTCTGTGGTTCTGGCAGTCTGATTGTGACCCTTTGCCTTTGAAAAGGGAGATGATCTGTCCCCCTTTCCATTGCAATGGCTCTTCGAGTCGAAAAATCATCTTCAAAATAATCGGAAAGAGCACACCTGCCGCATCTCCTGGACATGCTTTCAAGAGTTCATTGGGCAGTCGATCGGGCCCGGGTGCTTTCCTGTATCTCATTTTGCGTATGGCTTTCTCGAGATCGATGCGACTTGGCAAGTCATCTGAAGTGTACTTGCCCGGTTTGCATCGGTCTTGCTGTCTTTGCAACATGTTGGACATGTAGTCAGGAACCTGTACCTCCCTACCAGCTTCTAGTTGGGAAAAGTGCCTGACCCATCCGTCCAGTGATTGCAAAATCCGGCCTTCCTCATCCTGCAAAAAAAGGCAAGGGCTGCGGCAACATTTTCTGCTTTTTCGCTGGCTGAAGTATTGGTCGCAAAGCAGCAAAAACCTCACTTGGTTTCGCGTTTTTAGCATCCTCCGCAACTCCAAGCAAAAAGTGTTTGCGATCATTTCTCAGTTGTTTGCGAAATTGCAGTGAAGCAGATTTGAGCTCTCGCGCATGCCGTGCCATTGCATGAGATATCAACTTGTTCCAGGTGCTATCAAGATCACTAATTCCTTTCCCTTTTCTCCAGGCATTCCATGCTCGAAACGTAACGACGCACAAAGAAAAGTCGTCGTGTTTCTTCAAGGTCCTGAGGGTTCGGCGAAGGGATGTGACTTTCCGATGCAATTCACGGCTCTGGTCGGAGACATGCTCTCTATATTGCTTACCCCATTTCTTGGGAAAGTATCGGATAGCCTCCCTTTGGAGGTGATCCGTGATCAAGGCAGCATGCTGTGATGCGTTCATTCCCCAATCCGGTTCCGGACATGATGCCCAGATGGCACGAACTGTGTCCTGGTTCTTTGGATCTCTCACAGCTGCTTCATCAATTCTTCTCTCTTTGTGTCTGCGCAAAGCCATTTGGTTCCAAAAAATGCCCACACACGTGCATTCATGATCCAGGCCTGCGTGTCCAGCATGG